CATCCATCCATCCATCCATCCATCCATCCATCCATCCATTTTCTGCCGTTCACTCACTTGCTCATACTCATCCACCAACCTGTCCATCAATCCACCCACCAACCTGCCAATTTATTCATCTTCTCATCCACCATCTGTCCTTCCATCCTTCTCTTCCAGGAATGGGGAAATTTATCTAATATCTCAACCTCAATACTCCCCCTCCTCTACTCAAGGTCCTATTGAGGGAATGAATGGTAGGTGTAGCTTTGCAAGTTCACTGACAGTGGGTCATGTCTTCCCGACATAGCCCTTAGGTGAATGCTTTAGTTAAGAAGAGGGAAAGGGATGATCTCTTGGGAATTAGCCATCACCCTTCACCAACTTCCAAGCTGGACACTGGTGTGAGTAAGGGGAGTGCATCCAGGCAGCCCAGTCTGCTTTCTTCTCCATCCGTTCTCAGGGAAGCTGTGGTTAAAGTCCTGTCTACCTGCCAGATCGGCAGGTAGATGGCGCATTACGGATGCAAGGTGAACCCTTAGAGCTTTACCTTGAGTCTGCGGGACAGGCCCGGGCTGCCTTGGGGTAGACATCTGAAGGATTCTCGTCTGACGAGGGAGCCAGAGTATATGTTGGAGAGCGTCCTTAGTGGGCTTCTGGTAAAGGGTAGACATGACTGGGATTCTAGAACGTGCAGCCAACTGGCAGTGAGCCTGGAAGGTCCTTCAGCAGGAGCAGAAGTGTGTGGAGTGAGCCCATCACGGGACCGGCCCTGGAGGCATGGGAGGAGGTGGCAGGAGGGCTTCACTGGGGGCTGGCTGCTTGCCGGACACGGATGAGTCCTGGGTAGAGGGGGCAGCCGAGAGAAGTGCAAAGGTCAACCGTGGAGGATGAATGGGAAGACTGGGTGGAGCGTTTGGAGGTAGGACAGAGACAGGAGACGGATTGGCATCTGGGACCAGAGGAGATGCACAACTTCCCCACTGCCCTGGTTCTAAACGTTGAGTCAGGCGGTGTCCACTGTGAGCTGTGATCTTTCAAGAAATGACGAATCCTTGGATGCATGCAAACTGCACATGAACTCACATAAGGCACATGGACGGCACGGATGCAAATCAGACCATCCCATGCAAGTCAGATGGCTTGCCTATGGACATATAGCAATAGGCCATCCATCCACCCGCAAGTTAATACGTACTGATCAATTCATTCTAATGGTGGCGGCGAAACCATTCAGGTCGACTCTCAAGTCATCCAGCGTGGCTCCGAAGCTCACCACCTGGTGGTGGTTTGTATGTTGAAAGCTACCCCACTGCTGTTTCTAATGGCCCCAGTCACTTACGGTGGACAGGCTTCAGGGGAGCTTGTAGCCTGAGACAGAGGAAGAAGAGAGGCTGGGGGACCCATCAGCCAGAGAAAACCCTATGTGGTGTCTGATCCGATGCTGGAAAGTGAGCTCCCTGTGTTGGAAGCCCCTACAATGGACTCCAACAGAGCACCAGTCCTGAAGACGGTACAGGACTCGGCAGTTTTCATCCAGTTTTTATGTAAGGTCTCCATGAGCTGGAGACACTGATGAGGGGTCGCAGCTCAGCTTAGGGTGGGCTGTGGAAGAACTTCCCGGAGTTGCTAGGGATGCAGGTGAAGAGGTGGTCCCTGCCCTGGGGAGCCTCCTCTCTGGTCCTCTATGTGCTGTGCTCCCGTCACTTTCTGGGCTTCTGGGTCTGAGACTTCACATGAATGGAGTGAGCCTGGGTGACCAGGGCAGTGAGGGGCTGGAGGGAAGGAGGTCACTGGTCTACCAGCCAGAGGGTGAGCACCTAGCCTGGGCCCTGGTCCTGAGGGATGGGCGGACCCAGGAGACCAGTCTTGGTCTTAAGCTTTAGCACCTGCCACCCTGACTGCCTTCTTCACTGACCCTCCACCTTTCCAAGCATGATGTCCCTCTCCAAAAAGTAGCCATCCTAACAACATGCCCAAAGGGAGCACTGGTGGCTTAGTGGTAAGGAGATGGTCTGCCAACCCAAAGGTACATGATCTGAATCCAGTAGCTGTTCTGTGGGGAAAGATGGGCCATCTCCTTCCTTGTGATTTGCCAGCTCTGAAATCCCCCCCAGAGGGTCGGCTATAGGTGGATTCCAACTCGATGGTCCAGAACTACAACATCCTCAGAGTATGTGAGACGAAGCTTTGTCATCTTTGCCTCCAAGGAGCACGCTGGCTGCACCTTCTCCAAAACAGATCTGTTTTTTCCTTTTGGTCGTCCCTGGGATACCCTCTCCAACATGTCAAGTACGGCAGAGATGAGGAGGGGGACACAGGATAGGACGGGGTTCAGATGTCGTTCGTAGGGTCGCTGTGAGTCGTACTTGACTCAATGGCACCTAACAACAACAACAACGGCTGCAAGTGTGGTCACCTGCACACTTCGCCCCTGTGCAAAGGCCACCCCTGCTTTTCACGTTTGGTTCCCAGGAAGCTGTACTTGGGACAAAGGGTACGCTTTTAGGACACAATGGCCGGAGATTGCCATGGCTTGAAGACAGTGCCGTATTTCTTTCCTGATTACTCAGAGGTGGGGGGCATCATTCCTTAGGACTGGGAGTGACATTTGGGTGGCCCTGAGGTGACCAGGGTTCTGTCCAGATCTGACCCTTGCGGAGTGAACTTTGTCAAGCCCCTCCCCTCTCTGACCCTGGCCGCTGTGCTGGTGTGTTACCTGGGTCTCCAGGCCCCTCACTGATGTCGTCTAAAAGCCCTGAAGTTTACCTCCGATCCTTCCGACCTGGGGACGCCCGGCAAGCGGAGGCTTATGTGAGCACACAGCCTTTCTCCGCCAGAGCTTGCAGGGAGGCCTGGGCTGTAGAAGGGGTGCTTGGATGCCAGGCTCCGGCCCTGCCTCTCTGTGTGATGAGGTGAAGGTGCTTCAGTTTCCCTGTCTGTGTCCTATTTTCCATCATTCCTCTGTGTCCGGGCGCCCTCCTGAACACCCCAGGTGGAAGGTGGACGGTAACTTCCTATGGAGAGCTGCTCACATGAGCGCCTCTGCCCCCACCCCCTGCTTCCAGACCATTCATGGAAAGAAGTCACATCTTGCAAAGACCAACTCGCTGATTTGGGGCTCGGGAGGAAGGTGGGTGGGCCAACAGCTGCCCCTTACAGACAGATGGACAGGCCAGGGGCCTTGCGAGTGGAGCTTGGGTTTAAATCCTGCACTGCAGCTTTTTGCTTGTTTGACTTTGAGAAGCCAGCACACCGTGACTCAGTTTCTCTGCTGTGACAGGGTCTGGCCACGGCACCCTAGCTGCCCTCGGGTGTGTTGTCTAGGCTCAGGCCTGGCTTGGAGGCTCTTGGGAAGCCCAGCTCCCCTCTCCCAGGCCTGCCCTTCCTCAGAGGGCTCGGGGACTCGGCTGAGGGCAGCCAGTCCATGTCTGAGGCCCGTGAGTGTGGAGGAGCCCTGGCCTGCCGGAGGAAAACAAGTGGGGGGCGATGGGGGGGCCGCGGGCGAGGTGGGGGGAGCTGGCTGAAGGGCTGGCCAGCAGCTCCACGCAATCTGTCTGCTATGCAGTCCGAGCCTGGCCTGTATTTATTTATGCTGAGCGTGTATTTATATCAGCCCCTTTCTCATTAATAGAGCAGGAAATGGCTGGAATTGTTACATACCTGGCGGCCCAGGGGTCCCCCTCGGCCAAGACACACAGGGCCCTGGCTGCCCCGGCATGCTTGGGGAGCCCCTCCTCAGGCCCAGTCCGCAGTCCCCCACTGACCCCCTTCCACTGAAACCTTTTGACCTTCTCGGGCTGTGGTCACTCCCTGAGCCCACAGTCTTGGAAAAGGGGCTTCTTTCAGGGGTACCTCCTGACCCCTCCTGAGCCCATCAATAAAGATAGGGATGTGGGGCACCGAGGTGCAGACTAGAGGGTGGGAAAGGGCCAGTAATCCCAGACAGAGCAAGTGTGGGAGTGAGGAACAGGGTTCCCTATGTTAGTGATGGTGTTTGGGGTTCTGCTGAAGATGGGGTGTCCCTGGCTGTGCCCACTCTTTCTGCTTCCCAAGCCCAGCCACTTGGGCAGCTCCTGCAGCTTCCTCTTCTTAAGACCCTCAAATCTGCAGAAGCGGTCTCTGTTTATCCCCAGGACTCCCCCTCCCTGCCACAGGCCCCAGCCCCGGGGAGGTCATCTCTGTCTGGACTTCTCAGCCCCAAGGTCTGGCGAGGTATCCCTGCTGGCCCAGCAGCCCCCTCCCCGGCCCTCTTGTCACCTCAGACCTGAGCCAGAGTCCCTCTCCAGGCCCCAGGCCTCGGGAGCGGGCTCCAGGTGGGGCTGCCAGAGTCGAGGCGCGGCCCCCTCCCCAGAGCCCTCGCCTGACATAACCTATTAGTGCTTCTGGCCTCAGACCCCCCCAGCCAGCCTCTGCAGCCAGGAACACAGCTCCCGCTGTCCCCTCCAGGCAGCCAGGCCAGGGCAGGCTCTGTAGGACCCCACTGGCCCAAGGGCCGGCTGGGAAGCTCACCCCTGCCCTCAGCTCCCTCAGCTGGAACTCCGGGCTGTTGTCTTACAAGGGGGCTGTGCTCAGCTGGCTTTGACCCCTGCTGTCAACCTGCTGCCACTTCCAAGCCCTTCTGGCTCTGAGTCCAGAAATGGGGTCACAGCCCAGACTTGAAGGCTGCAGTTGAGAGTAGAGGGGCACAGGACTCCCCTGAAGTTCTGACCTTTGCCATCTGCCCTGTCTTCTTAATTTCACTTCAGGACCTCCTTTGGGGAGGCCGCAGGGGTGGGTGGGATGGGGGGGACCCTGGTGGTGTGAAGCCTGCTCTGAGATCTCAGGTTTTTTGCATAGCATGAATACAGGGGCTGGAGAAAAAGCTCTGAGGGAGATGGGGTTTTTCCTTGGGGTCCCTTTGCTTTCTCCAGACTTCAGGGGTCCCTCTCCCTCAGAGTATCCCCACCTGAGACGAGTTCAGGCTGGGGCACTCACTCGGGGGCCGGGTTAGGGACAATCTAACTCCACACAATGAGCTGGGGAAGAGCTGCAGTAGGAAAGTGGGTCTGGGCAACAACTGTGGTTGTTAGTGCCCCTCCTAGCGATCCTATGAACAACAGACCTGAACGTGGTCCTCTCCGGTGCCATCCTCGTCGTCTGACACACTGATCCTTGGCTCAGTCACTGTGTGTCAGTCCGTCTCGTTGGGGTCTTCTACCCTTCCCAGCACGATGTCCAAGGAATGGAAGAAGCGTTCCTTCTTTTTCTATTAACCTCTCTGACACCCTCTGTTGTTGCCAAGCTCTGCTTGTCAGTGGTCAGCTCCAGGCCCTCATCCCCCTGCCCCTTCCCTTCACAGAGTGACACTGTTTTTTTTTTCTTTTTTCTTTTTTTTTTTCTATAATTATATTTTATTAATTTTCATTAACATTTACAGAGATTTTGGGCTTCCACTCATTCATTGTTGCACTATTCTCTCTACCCTCCTCCCAGTTTGTTCTTGTCCAAATGCCACAGTGCTTGTCAAAGCCAGTTCTGATTAATCTTCTTTGTCAGTGTATCCTTTGCCATTCCCTATCACTCCTCCCTGAGAGAGACTTCACCCTGAGTCATAAGGAAAAGGGGACGGCGTATTCTCTTAGCTACTTCCTGCTGAAAAGGGACGCTGTGGGTTTCAGGGTGAAGATCTTCTCTCACTACTCTAAAGGGCCCCTTTGGCAGTAGGAAACACATAGACTATTATGGAGATTGATTTTGGAATTCAGATGCACTCTTATTGATTGTGCTTGGCTGTACATGTACATATCCTTGAAGATGTATCATGGGGGTGTTGCAACCTAGAAGACACAAATTTGACTAACAAGTTATAAGTACATGAGTCCAAAAATTATGGAAAAGTAAAAGAAAAGATTCTTTCATTGTTTTACAAACCCTCCCCCAGGTCCCCTCCACCATGCAGCCCTCGCTCTAGTCTCCTGTGATGACAGAAATACCCAGTTACATCTCTCTTTTAGACGGTTCTCTCCCTCCTCTGCTTCAGTGCAGTATACATTATTGAACCCATCTTACTCAGTGTCTCCCTAACCCCAAGGATAGTCCCATTCTACAACAGTGGCATCATGTAATATTTGTCCTTTTGTGACTGGGATATTTCACTCAGCATAATGTTCTCCAGAGTCAACCATTTTGAATAATATTGCATGAGTTCCTTGTTTTTTAATGCAGCATAGTATTCCATTGTGCGAATATACCACAGCTTCTCTAGCCATTCGTTTGTTGATGGGCACTTAGGTTGTTTCCAACTCCTTGCTATTGTGAACAAAGCTGCAATGAACATGGGTGTGCATAGAGTGACACTGTTGATATGAGGTTGAGGGTCAGTGACTCCCAGGGCCAGGCTGTTCCTCTGGGCCCTTGGTGGCAGGGCTGTGCCCCGCTCACTGCTTGTCCAGAAATGGGGTGTGTTTGCATGTATGTCTGAGATGTTTGCATGGGGCAGACAGGGATGCTCCCCCCCCCTACATGAAGCTGCTTGCGATTTGAAGGACTCTCGCCCCTCTGTTTCTGCTGGGAAGGCCCAGGGCCCTGGTCCTGCCTGCCACTGGCTTGTGGGGCGCTGAGCAGGCTTCTGGACTCAGTTCCCGCTCACACAGGAGTGTGCTTCTAAGCTCTGCTGGTCTGAGACTCTGCTTTTGTGAACCCTGAAATCCCATTAGCTGAAGGACCAATAGGCTGATGTTGGGGGTATGGGTGAGCATGAGTGGGGAGCCCTCTGTGCCCAGATCCCTGAACTCTGGCTGCAGCTGGGCCTGTAACCACTCTCGGTCCCTCCAAGCACATCTGGTGCGTGTTCCCCCTCCTCTCCAGGCCCACATCTGGAGTCCAAAGCCGGCTCGTCAGCTAAACACGGAGCATCTGGCCCCAGAGAGCCTGTTCCCAGGTTAACGCGGCCCATCTGGGCCTCTGGCTGCTCCGCCCCGTCTCTGTCTCCTCAGTGGAGTGCTGGCCACACATCTGGAGGGCTGAGCGGGGTCTGCTGCGTGCCCTGGGCCCAGTTAGACCTGAGGCAGGGGTCCCCATGTCACCTCCCTTCTGACAGCACGACTCCCAGAGCTGCTCTGCAGGGCTGCCTCAGGAATAGCTGTGTTTTGTAATAATCTGGACACATGTCTCCTGCCAGAAGTGGTGACAGTCGCCACTCTGCACCAACTCCCCCAGCAGCCTCTTGGCACCATTTGAAAGAGCCTCTGGGGCTCTGGATGGCCCCATCCTGGGGTGCCTTGGGCGGTGCAGAGGTGCCAGGGCTGTGGGGGGATGACACTGGGTCCCTGCTCATAGACCCCACTTCCCATGAGGAGCTCCACTGTCACTCCCTGGGGACTTTCCCCTGTGCTCCCCACTTCCCTGCAACACTCATGCTTGGCACAAAGGGGGTGGGCCTCTGCCTGAAGTTCTTAACTCAGGGGAGGGTGCCTGGGAAGGCGGGCCACCTGAGGGAACCGGGGTGGGCAGTTCAGGGTCCAGGGGCTGCGGGCAGAGACAAAGCCCAGGGCAGTGAGGGCGGGGACAGATCGGGGAGCTCTCCGACCATATGACTGTGGAGCCTGGACTGCTTCTGCTTCCATGAGACTTCAGAGCCCGTGCTCTGCACTGGGAGACGTGACCCCAGTGAGCTGAAGCATGTGGGAGTCTTAAGTCACTGTCATTAGGGTGGTGAGCTTTCCATCACAGGGAGCCAAGCTGTTGGGGCTGCTGTCCCCCAGGGATACGCCAGAGGCTGTTCTTGCTGGAGCACAAGGCTAGCCCTTCCCTATTCTATTACGTGCCGTCAAATGCATTCTGACTCATAGTGACCTTATCACAGAGGCTTCTAGGCTGTAATCTTTTATGATGATTATATTTATTGTGATTTGAATGAAAGTTTACAAAGCAAATTGGTTTTTAATTCAACCATTCAAACACATTTTTTTAAGAACATTAATTACAACTCCCCCAATCACAGTCTCCCCACTCCCTCCCTGTGATTCTCACTCCCATTAATCCATCTAGCCCACCTCTTCCTGCCTTCAGGTCTTTCTCTCTGAGCAAATGCTACTCTTTCCACCGCGTACGATGGGTTATTCTAAGGAGTGAACACCTCCCTGGTGTATCACCTTCTGGCTGCAATCTTTATAAGAGTAGATCTCGAGATCTTTCATCTGAAGAATCACTGGAAATGTTTGAACCCCTGACCTTTAGGTTAATAGCTGAGGGCTTAACACTCTCTTCCAAGCTTCTAGGATCCTGCAGTACTGTTGTTCTGACTCTGGGTCGGCTATGATAGGAAGTTTGAGCAGCTGTGATGTACAGGCTGGTTATTTGGGGGTAGAAGGGAAATGTAAGAGAGGAAGGGTGCAGGGGCTGAGGGTCCCACCACCTCTTTGTCTGAAAACACCGCCGTTCTCATCCCAGACGGGTCCTGCGAGGTCGGGAGCATGCGCAGAGCGCAGGCAACCCCGCGTCCTGGAGCCTGGCCTTATCGGTGCATCACTGGCCCCGGTTGAAAGGAGTCCTTCCTGGCTGTCGCCTCCAGCCTCCGACCGCTGGAGCAGCAGTGCTCAAACCACAGTCTCATGCCTTCTCCTGCACCTCCTTACCCATGGAAAATCTGAGTCAACAAACATGTAAGAAGACAGACACAAATAAAAAATAATGAGGGCATGAGTTTATTGAGTATGCGCTATGGGCCAGACAGCGTTCCGACGGCCTTACTTGTATTATCTCGCGTCAGCCTCCCTTGGAGGGAGATGTGCTGGCTGTCATTCACCCATTTCACAGATGGGAGACCCGAAGCTTAACGTCTGCTTGGCTGCTGGGTGGCAAAACTGGGATTCGAACCAGGAAGTCTGGCTCTAAAGCCTTAAATACTACTCCACGCTGTCGTTAGGGGCTGTCGAGTTAACTTGTAGTGACCCTAAGGACAGCAGATGAAAACCTGCCACAATCTCCACCATGTTCAAGTCCACGGTAGTCACGGCTGCTGCTTCTCCACACTGCCTGTGTGCAAGTGGGGACAGAGGGGCTGAGACAGAGGTGGACCCAGCAAGACAGAGGGAGGAACGGCTGGGAGCTCTGGGCTCTGGGTCCACCCAGGAGGTGACGCTGCTGTCCCTGCCTGAGAGGAAAAGCAGGATGGATTGAATCCTGGGGGTCACCCTGTCCTGTGTCGCCCAGGCCTTCAGAGTGTGGTGTTGGGCACCAAAGAGCAGCCTCAGCCCGTGTCAAGTCTTCCAATGGCAACAGAGTTAGGTGTGTGCCCGAGCTCACCCGGCCGGAGATGGAGCTGTGCTTTGCT